AAAGTAATCAGAACAGAAGCTAAAAGCTAAAGAAACAGAAGCTAAAAGCTAAAGAAACAGAAGCTAAAAGCTAAAGAAACAGAAGCTAAAAGCTAAAGAAACAAGCTAAAAGCTAAAGAAACAGAAGCTAAAAGCTAAAGAAACAGAAGGTAAAAGCTAAAGAAACAGAAGCAGCAGTTGAAGCAGATTTCAGAGAAAAAGTTTCTGAAGGAAGTGAAAAAATCAGATTTTATATTTTAAGGTGAAATCTTTCTAAATAAAGTTTATATGGTTAAAAAGTAAAAAGTTCCAGGAAGCAGAATTCTGAGGCTGTTTCTCCTGAATGAAGCAGTTTTTATTTATTATCAGTAAAATAAATCAGGTTAATGTTTCGAAGCGTCCTTCAGAACAGAACTTTATATTTCTAGTTATAAACTTTATAAGCTGATGAAAGGAGCAGGACAAAGTGCTGAGTCACTGGGAGCAGGACAAAGTGCTGAGTCACTGACAGAACAAAGAAAGTTTCTCACCCACATCCCTCCGTGTGACCAGCAGCTGCAGCTCAGAGCTTCCTGTCAGCCAGGTGAGCTGAACACCTGAGTATAAAAGCAGCAGAAAAACTGACAGGTGAGGCAGGAAGTCCTTCCTGTGAGTCCGTCCAGCTTCAGCCTCAGCTTCAGCTTCAGCCTCCATCATCATCATCATCATCATCAGCAGCTCCACACAGGACTGAGCTGCACAGTCTGAGCTGCTGAGGATTACTGAGGGTGTGTGTGTGTGTGTGTCTGTGTGTGTGTGTGTGTGTGTGTGGGGGGGGCGGGGGTCACGAGATGAGAGTCATCCCACTCCACCGGCCTGCAGCCTGCAGACGTGCACGTCTGGAGCGTGCACGTCTGGAGCTAAAGCACATGATTGTTCTGCTGCAACACCTGCTGCRGGCTCACCAGTCCAGGTCTCTGGTCCTCCTGGTCCTGGCTGMTGGATCAGGACCTCATCTGGACTTATTGATCCATACGGTCCAACCCTGTCCTCTGGTCCTGAGGTTTGGATCAGGACTGAGCCAGATCCTGGATCCAAGAAGCTGAAAGGATCTTCCTTTGTAGGACACCTCCCTTTAGGATGAGGTCCAGGGTCAGACCCAGAACTCTGTAGACCCAAACAGAACCAGCTGGACCTAATCCTGTCCCAGAACCCCAGGTCTCTGATGCTGGACTCGTCTCTGTCCCACATGTGATATTTTACTGACAGACGTTCAACACTGCATGTTAGGAAATAAATCAACTTTTAAATGTTCCTGATTTATTAAAGAATCATTTAATCTTTATTTTATTTTTTCTATTCTCTTTTAAAATGAGTGTTTTTATTTATTTATTTATTTATTTATTTATTTATTTA